ATTATGATATTATATTAAACTGATAAAAATAAAGAGTTTCATAGTATAGATGAGGCCAAATTGTCAATGATTTTTTTTTGCTGATGTAGAAAGTTGAAATTTTTATCCCTTATATTTAAACAAGCTCTTTAATTTTCGAAAATTTTAATTCTCTAACTTAAACTACTACAGAAATGCGTGAATCAAATTGACTTAGTTGAATTTTAGTAGTGAATTTTTATAGTTTTTTTTTAGCTATATAGGAATGCATTAATATCTAGAATCTTTCAGATTCAATAGCAAACTTTATCTTCAATGTCGATCATTTACGAATACAAAAGATTTTTTTATACATTGGATTAATTTTAAAGTGCCCCCAAAAGAGCATGAAATATTGGTATTTTGAATTGCATATCATTCACTGAAAAGATAGTTTGTTGATAGATATATTGTCAACAATGTTTCATCGACAGTATACTGTCAACAGATACATTGACGACAGATATTTTGTCATTAGGAAATTCATTGAATTGTTTTCGTCGACAAATTCATTAGGTGACGAAAGTATTTTTTTTTTTGCATTACGAACTTCTATATTTTAAGAATAAACAGATCTCATAGTCCAATTTTACTTTGAATTATTAATCAAAAGAGTTTCTATTTCGAAATCCAAGAAAAATGAGAACTACAAAACTTTCTTTCTTCCAAAATTGAAACAATTGGTGATTAGTTTAAGGTATGCTCGCGTCTAAGATAGATCTGTTGATCAATTGAGTGTCTCAATATATTCATAATTGCTTCGTTCACTTCTTCTGCATCGTGGCCACTGGCTCAGTTGTTCTCGAGTTTAGTGTGACGACAAAAAACAAACGAATGCTTCTCTACGATGGATACGTCTACACCATGGAACAAAGATCGTGCTAGAGTGAAATACTGGCGATGGCAGAATCATTCTTGCTCCGTTTTTATTCTCTTCAATTGGGAATGATAATTATAAAGCACCCTCGGACATTCAAGATGATTATCTAGTGTTGTCTGAGCAAATGGAACTTCTTGCATTTCAAAGAACCGGTAATCAAGGAGACGACACTGATTGGTTGTAGCTATGCACAAGAGTCCACAGTGGCAAAGCTCAATCGAACTGGCTTGAGGCTTCCATCTAACTCTAAAGACTCTCTTGAGTATCTACTATAAATTTAGCCACATCTCTAGAGCCGTCTCTGTTTCACCTTCGTCAAAACGCAACACTAGTTCTTTCCACTTCAAGAAGCATTGATATCTTGACCAACAAGAGGCAGAGTCTCAATAGTAAAGAGTTTCCTTTCAACGATGCATTCATCTGTGGCAAGAAAGTTTCAATATTCGTTACTGACTGGCAATTGGTCATGCTGTTCGAATCAAAGCACATCTTTGTTGATGGCGAACTTTCAGGCTGTCCTTCTTACCTCGATCAACTCCTAGCTATTGGTGGGCTGCACTATGAACATGGCAACCTCTCTCTCTCGTCTTGCTGATCTGAGAATTTAAGGTGTTGTCTCCTTCATACTGTGTCATAGGTTATTGCTCTTCTTCTTGATCGATCGACTGCTTTCTACAACTATCTATTCGAACTCCTTGATTAGAAAGCCACAGAACTTCATATGACATTCAAACTAAAATCGATGACGAATAACTTTGAAATTTCATTGATTAGGTACGTGAAACACCATGCACTTTTCTTTCTTTTTGGTCTTAACATCTACTTCCGATTCTTTCTGAAATTCTTCTAGTTTCCTGTGCCTCGACATATTTGATGTTTCTTCCATTATACGTAAAGTATTCATCGAAACTCCAAAACCTCGAACTATCTATAAGGATGATGAAAAAGTTTGCTCTGTTATCTTGTGACAAATTGGAGTTTGCTTTTAAATATCTTGTCGGAAATCATTCACAATCAATCGATGATCTACTCGATGATTTCGAAGACTTCTGGATTGAAATTGCATTACAACAGGCTTTTATATTGTGTTCAAGAAGAAAGTATATGGACAACGCTCATATCGCATTCAACACTGTCTCAAAACCCCTGTGGATCGATTCAAGAAGAATGAGATCAAACTCATAGAATTGGACGTGCAAGTCCTCCTAGACCGAGAGGAGGCCGAATCCGGATTCAAAAGTTTAACTCTTCTCGAGTCCATCTTCAGTCAGCAAAATTATAGACCCATAACTCCTTGTAGGTAAGTATTGATTAGCATTATGAATTTTTTGGTGCAAGATTTTCAAAACCGATATCATTAACTTTTTTGAATGGTCGACAGTCAAGTGCTGCAAATTCAAAATAAGCAGCTCTAATTTCCTACTTAACTCGATCTACAATAGTTGGTTCAATTTTTTTTTTTGAAGATGCACAAAACTGATTGATACTTGCTGAAATATTGAAAACTGTTGTTTTTCTATTTTAATAACTAAAAAAATGCCTGGATAGTAAATTGGTACCAGATGATGACTTATAAATAAGTAAATCTTCACATTGACTGCATAAAGCATATTCTTGTTATTAAGTATCACGTGACGGAAAAGTGAACAAAAAGAAATAGTTGTACGTTTACTTTTTTTTCTGAAAATAGTTAATAACCTTGATCCTTCACTTTTTCATGTACACAGTTTGTAAAATATCTGTTGTGTAAAATTTCTTTTCACCAGGTGTTTTTATAAATGACTATCTTAATTTAAGATATAAACAAGTAACAAATATTAAATACGAAAAATCATGTATTTCAATTTTGTCCATGCATTTTAGTACTAGTTTAACCTAGAGAGCTAAAATTTCGGAAAATCTAAGCTCTTGATTAGATACATATGTGTTTAAAAAACTCAATCTTTCCACGTCAAGAAAAAGTATGAAAAAGGTCATTGACAATTTATCACCAGTTGTTATGAAATACCCTTTATCTTTCGATATAAGTCAAATGATTCTTTAGTTTTTCTTCATGAGTGATGTGTTAGTAATCTAAATTTACAATCAACTCTCAAATTTCATTAGTTTTCAACTTTATTTTCTTCGTACGTCTGGTCACGTCGACGTCTAAACGAAAATAAATCAATGATAAATGCATTTTTCTTTCTTATAGGAAAATACAGAATTTATGTTTATATGATATGCTCTTGGTTCCAACCGATTAAAATACACATTCTTATTGTTAATGTCCTCGTTCGTTTGTTTAGGTTGTTGAATGACACATACGATGGAAATCATCAAGCAATATGAAAATTCTTCATTAGAACTATCAAAATTCTCTTAGAATATCACTGAGTATGTTACGCAAATATAATGCATTTCAACATATCCACACGCGTTTGCTATTCTATAACCAATATCTGTTAGTAATCTATCATAACGACAATCGATAATTGATGTAGACATCGTTGTTTGCACTATTTCGTCCTTCTAATTGATGAAAAGCTTCAATGAAAATCAATTATAAAAAAAAAATCGTTTCATTAGATTTATCGTACATATCAGGTTTGATTTTGTTTTATATTTTTTTCGTATATCATATATAATTATTATTCTATTTAAATCATAATAGTCTTCCTGTCATTCTCAGCATGTATCTCTATAAGCTGTAAAGATAAGAATCAACAAGCTATAAGCAAAAAGAAAAGAAAAATAAAATCAATCAAGCAATGATAGAAAATTGAACAGCACAAATGGCACCCTACGAGTGGACAACTGCTATATATGGTGCCATTCATATTCGTTATCGCGGATTAATATGATGCTTGATTGACTTCATCATCAACATTTATATCCACTTGTATATATTCCTTTGTTTCAAATTTCGTGCAAACGACGACAGATGGCCATACGTACATATACTCCCTATTTCCTGTCGTTCTTTGTCTCGCGTTCTTTTTTTTTTCTTACACTCTTCACTGTTCATTTAACAAATTCACTATCGATCGTATATGCACACATTAAAGAATTGAAATCGACTTCCTTTCTCTTTTTGATTGATCATCGAGTTCACAAGGCGCGTCGATCTTCAAAAGATGCTTTGTCGCGTGTCGCCACTCATCAATTGAACAAAAACATGCACATGACGGTCTCATGAAAAACATTATGATGAGGGAAACTGTACCAGCTGTTGTTCTATATATGTATATATTTATGGATTGTCTTAATTGCCTAATGTCTCTATCTTCAATCTGACGCGCACCATCGATTTTTCAAGACGAAACATGTTCATAGAAGTATGTGTCAAATGAAAAATACATACAAAATGGATAGTTGAATAGAGCATACCAGGACAACGCCTCAGGAGTCTTAATACTGTTATCTCTTTCATTAACAATTCAACACTACTAGGACAAAGAAAAGAGAACGAACACGACAACATGACACTGCATTATTGATATATATGTGAGGCTTGTATTACTGATAGATGAAGAAGGGAAAAAAAAAGAATACAAATACAGATGGCATCTTTTCTTTTTTTTCCTTCTTTTTTCTCTTTAGCAGATGTCGAAGAGAAGTCATATCGTGCTGAGCATTCATTAATGTCATTTGTCAACTCTCTCTCTCTCTCGCGCGCTTTCTGTCTGTCTCTCTCTCTCTCTCTCTCTCTCTCTCTCATTCTATCCAGTTTTTTTTCATTTTTATCTTGCTCTCCCTTTTCTGTTAATTGAGCGACGCGTGCTTGTTCCCTGTAGAAGAAAAAAATCTCCCAATCTTGTCGTAGTCGTCTAACACGCACATTTCCTGTTGAACAAACTCTACCAGACGTAATATGAGTAAAAAAGAAGAAGAAGAACGGACGATGTTAGTGGGAAAAATCGATGATGGAAAGAAAAAATCCTGCCAACGACGTCAATGGTTAGAAAAAAGAAGAAAAAGAAAAAGAAAAAGAAGAAGAAGCAACATCATCGACCAGAATCAGAAACATCGGAACGTTGATAATGGTGGTAGTAATAGAAGTACGATTCAATCTGTATCAACTTCTATTCTACCACCATTATGCTGGTCATCTATAAGTTTAATGTGTCATCTTAAAAGTGAACATTATTTAAAAACTAAAAATTGTCTTCATAGTCATTGGAAATGGTCACAAACAAATAAATTTCATTCTACAACAATCTTACTTGATGATAATAAACAAATATTATTTCATCCAAGAACAAGTTCATCAACACAAGTTATTATTGCTGATAGACCATTACCATTAAATGGTAAACATTATTGGGAAATCTTCGTGCCTTCTGTTTATGGAACATCAATTATGTTTGGCATTGCAAGTAAGTTGATAAGTTCTTGACAATAAGAATAATAGATAATATTATTTAAAATAATTACTTTAATTATATATCTATTTGTTATGTTATTTAAGCTAATGAACAACAAATGTTTTCATCTACATTTACAAATCTAATTGGAATCGATCAGCATGGTTGGGGACTATCACATCATGGGTTATTATGGCATAATGGAATATCATATTCGTATTTATCTCAATCAATGGAACCACTTCGACCTGTTTTAATTGGTTTAGAATTTGATGCTGATGCACGAACACTTTCCTATATAATAAATAATCAATCAATGGGCATTGCATTTCGTTGTATACCAACAAATGTATTAATTTATCCGGCTGTATCATCAACAAGTGCACAAAGTACAATGATTCTTAAACATTGTTGTAAGATATGTTCGTCTTTACGTGAACATTGTTTGAAATTAATTAAATCATCTAAATTGAGAGATAATATTAATAATCAATTGTTACCTCGACATTTAATTGAGCAATTGATTAAGTAAGAACAGTATAATTGTGTTGTTTTGTATATGTTATTCGTAGTCTCATCGTCGGTTGGATTTTAGTCTACTTTTCTTCTTCGTCGTTTTTCTTTTTCTTTCTTTGCTTATGGTCGAGGTCGAGAATGTGCAATGCTCAAAAGATGTACAAAACTAGCTTTGAAAATTAAAAATTCGTATTTTGTTTTTCTTTCTTTTTCTTTTTCGTTTGACATTCCGTACAAACAGATGTTGTTTTTGTGTTGTTTTTTATTCATTCCATAATGATCAAAAATAGAAAAAAAAAACCAAAATTACTATGACTATCATTATTATTTTCATTGATGTTGTTATTTGTGTATTATTATATTTATTGAATTTTTCTTTTTTTGTTTCTTGAAAAAAAAAAAAAACGAGTGCCATCTAGTCAAATGAGATGTTCATGCACAACGTTCATTTCTGTATAAATCGTTTTGTGTTTGTCTTTTCTTTTTTTCTTAATATCTATTATTTGTAATCATGAGCCACGAAAAAACAAAAAGTATTTAAATAAATATAAATAAATTATCATTTTAATCATGAAAAAGATATGTTTGATAAAATATTAGAAAGATAAATGAATCATTGTCAATATGTCGTAATTAGTCAGCACGATAGAATTTCGCATGAATAATAATTGATTGTTTAACAAGGAAAAAAAAAGAAGAAGAAATGTTTATGTATGAGTTGTCACATTCTGCTTGAGTTATTCATCAAAATCAATGAACTAAACAATGACATGAACAAGAATAATATGAACAGCAATGTTAAACTTTTTAAATCAATTATTGATTTTATCTTTTGAGATGACTAATAGATGACTCATTTTTCAAGAAAAACATATAACAACGGTTATATAAATATTGCTTGCAAGGTTAAACGAGCAAATTTGTGTATTGACAGATTTAAAACAAGTTTATTCGATTCTTTAATAACAAGGAACCTACGTCAACTGTTGACCACCGCTTGAGCTCACATTGAGCTCAGCAGTTTCCAAGATTTTCCTATCAATCCCATTCATGTATTTTATCATCCAACGAAAGAAACTAGGATAAAGGAAGTTACCTAGTCCAACGTGAAGATGAGAATGATACACACGACTAGCAATCAGCTGAAGGTGAAGGTTCACTTCTTAGGCTATAGCTCTCTATTGATATAGGTAAAATATATTATATGCTATCAATAGATAAGTCCAAATAAATCCCGATAGCCTGTCATTGGACCCACAAGGAGATTTTGGTAAGATTAGAGAATTCCTAAAAGAGTTCCTGCCCATGGGTATCTGGAGCCAAGTTAGGACTATTTTATCAAATCTTCGACCCATTGTCAGATATTTAATGAAAAATCAAACAAATAGAATTTCGACTTCTAGTTTTGCTCACAGATCATTCTAAGAATCATTAGACATAACTATGAGCAAAATTACACGGCGAAAATTCAGTAAAACAGTCATTACTTAGTTCCAGAAGTCCCATGGGCACGAACCGTTTAAAGCATTTTATAGTATTACTGGTACTCCGTTGTAGCTTGAATATGAGCTCAAATAGGAAGCTGTAGATCGAATGGTTTCCTCATAAGTCTGTATTTTTCTTTTCAGAAACAATATGGTCTAGGAATATTATTGTATCTAAGATTTGAGTATTAAACCATCTATTATGCTTATTGTACGCTATTATAGTGTTAAGCAATGATTATAGCTGTGATATTGAAATAGAAACAATCTATTTATTAAAAAATGTACATTTCTCTATTCATATGAAAAATCAACAGATAAGACTAACTGTAATCATAGAATTGTTGAAGTTGTAAGAACGTCAAATATTTTTCATCGGTTAAAATATTTTATTATTTCTTTTGTTTACAAACATACGTTACATGTGCTTCTATCTTGAATCCACTAATCGTTTTCTTTCTATGTCAGTCAGTTAATTTTTAACTAAAATAAAATCTTCTTCTGTGTAACGATACAGCGTAAAAGATAAAGCAAAAAATGTTACTGATATACTGTAGTCGTTAAAGGCGCTGCTATCGAGAGGAAAAAAATGACCTAATGTTGAATATTTTTGCACACTATTGTTTTTTTCTACAAACACAGCTGGATAAACTCTGATTGCAAGAATAAACCTGAGGTCGATCGACCTTAACTCATTAAATTTAGAATAACAGCATGGTTATTATCCTTGGGCCTAAAAAAAAAAAGGCTTTTTCGTTATTTTTCTGATTCCTTATTATTTTGAAGCATTAGTACCCATCCGTTTATCAACAAAGTTCCACATGTCTTTACTGTATTACAGACAGAAGACTCTAATCTACTGTGATCCTGAGGCGCAGCGATATTTTTATTATTTGGGACGAAGCAAAGAATTTGCTGGAGAAAATCTCCAGGCATTTGATGAAAAACAGCCGGAACTACAGGTTATTGTTTTGACGAGTTGCATCAAATCTCTTGTTAACAATACCCCAAAATAACTTCATAAATCAAGTCAAATTACATTCGTTTAACATGAACGTTTTTTTATCGGCGATATAAGCAGCACTGAAGTCTCAAATGAAGAGTGAAACATTGTGAGACTCGTTGCTGATGCTGAAATATTTTCTTCGAAATAAAAACTATGTTGATCTTCTAGTTTCTTCGCATGAATAGCAATCAATTTGTGATAAAGATTCATCGCGTTCTATTTGTAACCAAAACATAAGATTGAAGAATTTAAGCTTAGATACTTTTTACTTGCCAGTGTAACTTTTGATAAGTACTGTAGGCTTCATGAACATCAAAGAAAGTCATAAACGAGTTGATAATCATGCCATACATAGCCTTTAATTTATTTCTTGCGAAACATATTTTTTAAATTCTGTTATATTTTTATGGCATTAATCAAAATAGTCAAACCTTATAACATAGATACTAATTATTCCAAGACAATATCTTGTAATAAATAAAAAGAGAATATTTATTAATCTTCACGTCCGAATTAAAGAAGAGTGGTTGTAAACTTAATAACTCAACAGCCGCAATAGTTTATCACCTGGAATTTTCAGAAACGCAAACGAGCAAATTTCGAACATCATTTTTTTCTTGGCAAAATATTTAACAATATTCCGTTTCAAAGAATATTTCGATTAAAAACCAAAATAATTCTATGCGATTTTGTTTGCTTAACATTAAGATATGAGAAGATAATCACCTGATTTGTGTCTTAAACTATAGATGCAAAGTTTTTCTATCAGAAGTTCTGGTCAAAACCTAGATTACATCGAAATAGAACACCATTTTCAAATTTTTTGGAAAAATAATGGGCATTAAAATAATTCTGTCTTATATAGTATCAAATCAAAACACGTTCAGAGTTTTCCTCTTTGAATTTATAAAAAAGAAACTACAGACTCGCTAATTCTTCCCATTTTCGTGTTATTTCAGCTACAACAATCATCTCTCTTTAATTTTGGTACGGAACATTAGAAGCATTTTATTTGCATAATAAGACCTCGAAGGAATCATTAGGATTCATCATATTCATTTCGATTGATGTAATATGAGAGAGTATTTAACTTTAATCGAAAAAAAAACTTTATGGCTATAGTTGTTTAGTTAAGCAAAAATGCTTTATTCTATTGTATTTTTGTATACACAAAATGCCAAAAAGAAGTATGTTGTTTTATGTGAAGAACCTATAAAGTTCATGTATAATGCAATTAAAATCGAACTTTCATTATTGTTTTAATGTGAGCTTAAAAAAAAAATATTACATTTCATTCTGTCAATAAAAAGAAAAACATCCAATGTTTTCAGCTAAGAAACGTCGAACTATCACACCGATCAATGAACGAGTTCGTAGAAAAGATTTTCTTTAAAAAAAATATCGATGTATTATTTATAGGACCCTAGTACACTTTTTCGTGAACTTTTTGTTAAAAATTCTAATGCAAAACATATGCTTGTTTCGGAATATGATGTTCTTGATAAACAAAAACCAGTATCATTTTGGATGCTAGATCTTAATATTCCACAATGGCTTTTATTAGTCTTAGTTTCATTGACTATAATTGTATTTACAGCATTTATTTTATTTACAGCAATTGTTACATTAAAAAAAGAAACAAATGGAGGTCCATGTAAATCAAATACCGATTGTCGTCATGATCTTGGTTTAATTTGTAATAATTATCGGTGTGGTTGTGCTTATTCACATTTCTGGAGTAATTCATATAGTATCTGTGAAAGAAGACGAATGGTCAATCGAACATGTTTTAATGATTCTATGTGTGATGCATTTGCAAGTTTAGAATGTCAAAATGTTTCACTCGCGTAAATCAACAAAAGAATTTATATTATATATACTTATATATAATTTTTATTAATTCTTTTTTTTTTCTAGTAGCGGAGCTATTCAATCAGAATGTCAATGTAAAGCTTCTATGTCTTGGAATGGATATACTGTTACGTATATTAATATTAAAATTTATTCTTAATTTATGTTTTTTTCATTTTAGTGTGTCTATCAAGGTTTATATAATACATCATGTATTCTAGATACTAATTGTGATACAAGTCGATATTTATTTTGTAATTTAACAATACAGCTTTGTCGTTGTAATTCGTCTATGTTTTGGAATGGAGATTCAAAATCGGGCACATGTGAATATAAACGAACTATTAATCGATTTTGTTATCCATATGATGATAGTTGGTGTGATAATACAGGTCCTTTAGGACAAGGTCTTGTCTGTACTCAATATTCAAATCCTTATGGAAGTGAATATGGTAAGTTCGATAAAAGTGAAATATTAAACTGTTTTTCTTGTCAAAATACGATCTAAAAGGAATCTTGAAGTATAAGGGTAAAAATTGTAGACCTTCCTTCCCTTGTAGATGAGTCAAAAGCTATGAATTAGGATGCTCTTTTAGAATATAGACTTATAAATTTGTTCTCAGTTTTTGGCTTGTAGATCAGAAGTTATCCGACAAATTGCAATATGTCAATTTTCGTTGTTCCTAAATACTCATTGTTCAAAAATTAACAACCATTTTACATTGAAAGAAGTTCTTGAAAAAAAAACTTGTAGCCTCATTTGAGTGCTACAAACCGAACGACTTCGAAAGTTTTTAGCATGTTCAAAAAGCGACTTATGAAGTAAAGAACAATCGGATAGTTCACCATGAAAAATAACTTTTCAAGTTTTTCAAAAAGTCTCTCAGCACTTTTGAAGAAAAAAAAATTACACGATGTACCTAAGTTCATAGTCGAATTCTGATCGCAACTTGGCTCGTCCAGAAACATTAGCTCACAAATTCCGCCCAATCCACTTTTTGGGTTTTTCAAAGATTATTTTGTCTAAGAACTTTCCGATTAGCCACTATTTATTCATTCACTTTCTGGAGGATTAAGTAAAAGGATGTTGAAGAAATATGTTTCAAAATAGATAGAATAAAACAATTTCTCTCTGATTACCAGTCACACTTATATCGTATATCATATTTTAATTCCACAGGGATCGTACTAATAATTTTCTTTTTTATTTAAAGGTGTATGCCAATGTTCCACACATCAATTTTATAATGGTAGTGCCTCGTTAGGTAACGGAATCTGTGTACCACATCGTGTATATAATGAATCATGTACATCAACATCTCAATGTGATTATCGAATTAATTTAGAATGT